TGTTATCGATTTCCTCTTGTGTCATACTTTCCATGGCGGCCTCTGGTTTGGCGGATGAGAAAGACCTTGAATGATATGTGATATGTGAAGAATCAATAGCAATAATAAAAGAAAGTTATGACTCACCAGCTTTCACATCTTGGTCGGCTTCGGATTGGTCTGAAGCAGTTGAATCATCTAGCGCCTTCTCAGCCGCCGTGAGAGCGTCTTCGCCTTTGTTCTTTCGTGACTTCATAGTTTGAGAGAACGGGATATTGCCATTGATATCAGCATTGGTCTTCATGATCTTTGCATTGGCAGCCTCGATAATCACGGCTTCGTCAGTCGTAGGTTCTCGGGAGTACATTGCCCAGCTTGTACTCGCCATAGCTCCACCAATACTTTCCAGGTCCCGACTGCTCAATGTTGCAATACCTGCATTCTGCAAATCGTTGTGGTGCCATACCCCGGTAAGGCCTCCAACCGTACGTACCACTTGACACCAAAAGTGTCCACCTGCCCAAAAACCTCGTGCACGCATGAAGTAATCAATACCAAACAAAGTTAATTTGTAAGGCAAGTTACACTCGGCCTGCATCCTCACCATTTCGGGTCTCTTTGAGTCTGATATCAAGAATCTCGAAAGCTCGAGATGCACGTAGAGGTGAGGTGGAGGAGGGTTAGGTTCGAAAGACAGCTGGTTTCTCTCCACAAATGGAGGTGAGCCCTCGTCCAATTTCTTGCAGGCTTGACAGTGTCGGTTAGAAACTCCGCGGATTCCAGCTGGAGAGGTCCATTGAGCGATCAAATCGGATGTATGGGCATAAGTCAATTGCCCTTGAAAGTCTTGAGGACAGAGGTTGATAGTATTCGTGGGAATTGTTTCGTTAATGCGATGGGAAGAATCGCGAGAGCAAACCAGTTTGCGGAGACGGTGGAGACGGAATAAAGACCTCGCGGGAGCTGGAACAGACTTGCTGTTATCTCTTGCGTCGAAAATCAACTCGAAGAAGGTGTCAGCAGAGGCAAATTGGTCGGTGGGGAAACTGTCTGAAATGGCTTGAGCGGCGGCGTGGATTGTGTTCTGTCCTAAAGATAAGATGCTCCTAATGTTACCTTTCTGTGACATCTCCCAAGTGGCGCGCGAGGACAGAACCTTCATGACCTTCGTATAGATGTGATTGGTCTTGCCTTTGGAGGCGTGGAACCATAGAGGAGTGCAGAGTGCATGCAAGCACTCTGCAATCGAATCGAGCCAGCAGCGGTTACGGCGGCCAGCGGTGGTCGACGCAAAGAAGCCCTGGAAGGTGGTGACGGGGTTTCGATCGATATTGATTGCACCAACGGGTCTACCGAGCTTTTTGGATTTGGAACCTAGAAGAGCGTCGGTGGTGTCGGGAGCGCGGCCGTCGTTGCGCTTGTCCTTGCGATTTCGGTTCTTTTTGGACCATCCCAAGGTCTCCGCGACTTTCTCGTAGTTTTTGTTGCAACCGTATTCGATGGACACACCTCGAAGTAGATCGGCGTGGTCCCTTTGAAGGCTGGAGACTAGAGCATAGAGCTGCACCAAGCCCACCTGGACGGTACAATTACCTTCCCTGAAAAGAAGTTATAGCGGATTGAGATGAGAAAGAGAAATAGAAATGTAATGAGATTGAGATAACGTACGAAATCATGTAATACACGCGGTGCATTGACTCTTGAGCATTGGTTGTTTCAGGAAGGTCGTCACACAGTCCGTCATCGTCAATCTGCTTCTGCCTCGACCGGAAAAGCATGGCCTCGGTATCTGAAGCTTGCCACCAATCAAGCCAACGCTTGGCTTTGGGGAATAGGCGTCTCAAGGTAGCGATATTCTCCTCGTACGTGGCCTTGCCGGCCTCGTCCTTGACCAAGAGAGCCTCCGTAAGCCTTTGGAACTCGCCCTGCAAAATGATAAATTAGTACAATGTTGGTTTTATTTTATGATTGAAGTTCAAAGAGTTAGGCTAAATGTAAAACTTACTTGCTGGTGCCTAGGGATGACATTGAGATTACGCCGTATCCGTGTGACTGAAGCACGGAAGTGTTCTTGACAACCACGAAGTTTGCCTAACGCTTGGGCCCTATCGGTTACATCAAAAACGTCCATGTAAGCTCTTATGAAACCGTTTTTCTGTGCAGCAGAAAAATCCACGACTTGTCTGACAAGTATGTCTCGTTCAGCGGGTAACAGTTGGGCGTCCTTGATTTGCTTCATCAGCGCCTGGAAATGAGCCACGTAGTGCTCTTCCGAGAGACCGTATAGCCAGGTGAGCTGAATCGGAATCCACCGGTGAATGACAGATTGGTACATAGAAGTCGTCATGAGGTAGCCATTAGCGAAAAATTTGTAGGTCACGTCGGATAAAAGTCCCCCGCTGTAGACGCCACCATCTTCCTCTCGTGCTAGGAATTGCTCGGCCATCCACGGGGTTTGAAAGGTCATATGGGTATTCTCAGGCAAGAAAGATGAGGAAATCATCCTCAAGCCAAGTCTTGAGGGGAAAAGAGGGTAAATATGTTAGCAATTAAACATTATAAATGATGCAGAGAAGAATATACAATGGAATATGTGACTTACTTGGCCCAGTGGATCATGTCCAAGATAAAACTGTCGCCTGAGCCGGGAATTTTTTTCTCTGGAATGACACCTGCGTCCACCAATAGCTTGCGACGGTAGTAGCCGGTCCGATGCAAATTTCCAAAAGCCGGATGGATAGCGGAAGCTGTCTTGATTTCTTGCTTTCCTGCTGGAGCCCGACCGACCTGGGATTGAGACAGTCACAAAGTCTAATGAGCAATCAGACATGGAAAAGATAGAGTCTAAAAGAAATGAAATGGATAGTCTAAAAGAAATGGAAAAGAAACAGTGGTGATGAAATTTGTACCTTGTGTTGCAACGGCCCGACAGAAGGGTTGTTGACAACCCTTTCGCCAAACTTGCTGATGGATAACTTATCAGGCTTGCCACGACGTGGCCATGGATGAACGTGGAAACCAGCGTGTCTGATGATACCCCAACCGGTTGGGAGGTGCTCATCCAGCCGACATATCGTGTCTTCACATGGGATGTGACGCAGGTACTCAGAGCATAGAGCCGCCGGGCATTTGATAGGCCTAACGGATGATAAGGAAAGAAAGATAGAATAAAGATATTAAAATGAGAAAGTAGATATGGATAAAATGGGGAAGGGAATATAAAGTCAGATCTTGCAATCAATCGAGGATATTATTGGATGAGTAGATGCTCACGTGTCTTTCATTTCAGCTATTTTTCCGCGGGCAGTAGGTGGTGAGCCAAGGTAATCACATTCCGCATTGGAACAGATAACCACACCAAGACAAGCAAACCGGACGGTTCGCCAGTCAGGTCGTTTTTCCTGAAACCCACCACCGGAAGTTTTGTAAGTGAAAGCAAAGGTGCCCCAGTTGGTGAGCGTCTGGCCCGGATGCCTAACAAAGACCGTCTTGCCGTTGGGGAGCTTTGGGTACCCTTCGTCGTCTAGAGTCGTGTTATGATCTATGAAGGTTTCAAAGGATGCTCGGTCGAGTGGAAGGCCAAAGGTCTTCTTGCCCTTCTTCTTGGCAACTACCTTCGACTTTTCTTGGACTGGGAGCTGAGCGGATCCACTGTGGTCTTCCTCGCGAGGATTGTGATCATCCTCGTCGAGTTCGTCGTCGTTGTTGTCCAGAATCTCAGAACGTGACTCGTCCGGGAAGTGGCTGAAGTCCCGTAGTTGCTCATCTGTGTCGTAGCCGACAGAGTAGGCGACAGATCCAGCGTCAGAGCCATCGTCAGCGTAGTCGTCGTATTCATGGACTGATCCGTTGGATTCGTGATCGGACATATCGCTGTGAGTCATCTTGGAGGGCCTAAAATGTGAAAGCGATAGTGACGAGGAGATAAATCAAAAGAGTGGGAAAGATGATAAGTGACGGAGTAAAGGAAGCTTTGGATAAAGGAAGCTTTGAAAGGTTGATTAAATGGGGAACGAACGAAAGACTAGTATTGAGAATTGATGGAGATGCTTTATAAAGGAGAAAGCTGTTGTTTTTGTTGGTGGTCGGGATGGGTCTTGATGGTGGATTTTGATGGTAAGAATCGAATTCAAAGATTCAAAAAAAAACACGGCTTAGAGGAGGAAAAAAAATTCGTCGGGGTATGAACGACGGTCGAAGACTAGAGCTTTATTTGTCTTTTTCCGAATCCATTGCCTTTTTGCCGATGGTTCGCTATCATTTTTTTGACATCGTCCAAAGCGATTCTCCTTTGGGAAGAGGCTTGGATCACTAAATGGATGTTGTGATGAGTTGAAATGCCTTGTCCACGTCCAATAGGATTCCCTTTTGGGAAGAGGCTTGGTTCGATATGTGGTTGCCTAGTATGCCAACATCCATCCTCGCGAGGATGGGTAAGGGTACCCATGATGAGCCCGGGACCACGTCCATATTCGTCATGGTTGTGAAGGAACGACAGAGGAAATGTTCGCCGTAATTTTCGATATGGGAGGAAATGTTCACCGTAATTTGTTCGCCGTAATTTTCGATGTTGGCCGCTTCGAGACGAATTTCGCGAAACAGGTTTTGCAGATGAAACTTAGTCTGTTCGACTTGTCTCGCAAAAATATATACTGAGCCAGCTTTATGGCTTTTTGCAGTCGAGTTTTTTGGCGGTGATTAATGCTCGTCAAAGATGATACGGAAATTTCAACATTAGAATACTGGAGATGTATTTTTGCGTACATTCGTTTGCGGTGTTTTTGTTTACATACGTTCGGAATTTGAAAAATCGCTGTAAATTTCAACATTGGCCCGGGAAAAATGTATTTTTACAGAGACTCATGTTTTACAGACATTAATGTCTGTAAAGGGTAGTCTGTAAAATTCATCGATCCCATGACAAATGCTGAAGTTTGAAATTTGACAATAGCGGAATCAAGTCTAATAGAAAAGTTTCTGTTCCACCTATGTCTTCATCCTGTTCTTCGTGGCAATAATAAAAAGACAGGCAAGAAAGGTTGGGGCACTGAAGTATCAAGTCTTTCGCATTCTTCGGTGAAATCCAGTTGCAGTGAAAGTTGGGATCAGTGATGAGATTATCGTAGAAGGGATCATACACAGGGTCGCCATGAGGTTTGCTGCAGTTTTTGGAGAGACAGAGTCTTAGAGATCGGACATGGGAGCCTCTTCTGAGAAGGATATCTTTAGTCCATAGATCTATTGGTGCTGGAAGAGCAGTGGGAAAACTTAATTTCTGAAAATTATAATGAGTGACAGATCATGATTAGAAGTGTTTCCTTGTTTCACGAGTTGATATGGAGGTGACTCACTCGCCATAGCCACGGTTCACAACGGTTGTATATTTCACGCGAAGTAAGTGAAAAGGCTTGGATGCTGTTCAATATTGGTGAGTTTTGGTGCAAATAGGTCGTGTATGGCTTCCTGTCACCCGGACCTGTGATTATCACCTTGGCTAGGTGCTTTTTCATGTAATTTTGCCCATCTTCGAGGCCTGCCATGCAATTGAGCTGTTCAAGTACCTTGTGGAAGACCTCGATAGGTAGATCCAAAAGGCCCATTGGACGAGATTTATGTTCTAATTCCACATTTTGGATAACTTCTGTCAACACATCAAATGAGATTTCATTTTCTTGGCCAACGCGAGATTCGGGTAAGTCATTGACCGATGAGGAAGTCACATCTGGGCTTTCTGATAGACCGAGTTGAAGAAAGATATCAAGGATCGATTCTTTTGACCAAGTAAATCCTTTAGAATCAAGTTCATCAAATCGTTTTTGAATAAATTTGACATGCTGGTCCTCTGGCGTAGTCTTCTCATTACATTTCGAGATAATCTCGTGCCAAAGTGAAAGCTGAGCCTTGCAACAGGAGGATGCCATCTTGTCCTAGTGTTTTCAGGTGCTGGTCACTTGTATCCTCAAGAGACTCGGCTTAGGGAGAGAGCTGAGAAGCGACAAATTAGGAGTAAATATTGTCCTTTGAAGATTGATGCTTCCAAAAGTTTGATATCGAGAAAGTTCAATCGAGACGAGCTTATCACGTTGATTTTGTGATGTGCAGGCGCAGGCCAAGGGTGTTTGCCGGACCCTAAACAACAGGCTAAGGGACGAGAAATGCTGAGAATACCACGAAGTCAGTATCGATAGGGTCGATTATAAAGATGAAGATGGAAGTGAACTTGAGAAACAAGAGTACATGCCGGTACACCGACAAGATTTATGTAGGCCCGATAGTTGGCTGTGAGGCTATTGACCTGATACCTGTCGACGCTCCTTGAAGGAGTCCAAGTGTTGCGCGAATCTCCAAGATTTGGCAAATTTCATCATGTTTGTAACTTTGTAATAAAAAAATCAGTTTCCTCTTCGTGTATATCTGGAGAAAGCTCAAACAATGGATTTCATCGGAAATCAGAGAGCTTAGATATAATTAAATGGAGATGGATAATTTGCTGTTATGAAAGCTTTTATGGATCAGAAAAATTTCTAGTCATGATGATCTCTCAACATTACAAAATGATGAACACCAAAGTAGAGAATTATACAAGCATGGAACCCAAATTGACAAAAAAAAATCATTATGTCCCGTGAAGATTTTCAATTTCTCTTGTGGTATGAAGCAAAGTCGACAATGTATCTTTTTCTGGAAAAAATAGCTTTTCCTGAGATCATTGATTGACAGGAAGATTTGTCTTTGAAGGTGAAGGTTAAGAGTGACCGTGAAGGGACCATGAATGGAATTTTAATTTTTGTTAGCAAACTTGTCATTTTGAGTCATTTAAGCGGTCAAAAACTGCTACACTAAGCAAAACTCTCAAATATTAGCCAAGCTGCCTTCAAGGTGGTCACACTCGCAGGCTGAGGGGATGTATCGGTTCTTATCTTTCTCTCGCCGACTCGTATTTTTATCTTCAAGATCATTCCATCCAATCAAAATAATCGAACACCTGTCATTTGAAGCTGAAACTAGATGTCGTGTTGTCTGACCAAAGACTGAAAGCCCAAGGGATGATTGTATCACATCGAACGAAATATCAACAGCTCCTGCGTACAAGCTTTCCATCAAGCCGAAAACTGATCGTGCTTGGTTCCAAGCATTAACTGCCTTAAGGGCAGATGATTTTGTTTAACAAAAGATGTCGGGCGGCGATTCGTGAGCCGACTTTGACATCTTCCTGAATCCTGCTAGAATGTATGTTTGGGGGCATAGATATCGGATTGAGAGGCTAGCTACACCGCCAAAACATTGCTGTCACGCTTCGTTTTGGCAGCAGCAAGCACAAGCAATTTGTACAATGGAATCCATCAAAGATATGAAATGTCAGTTCGCTTGATCAACTTGAAGCTGAAAATCAGACCATGATCTCGAGACTTGAATTCGAGAATGAACTTCGAGACTCAGTTCCCGAACCGATCGTTGCATAATGAATCCATCGAGAAGATATGACTTCTGGTCATCATATACTTTGATGCTCCCCGTTGTACGCGGAACTTGATGAGACTGTAACTGTCAGTTTTGAAAGTCTACAGTATCGGTCCACTAAATCAAAACCTGGCCTGGAAAGCTAAATTCGGGAATGAGGTTCGATCCAGAATTCCTCAACCGATTGGTGTCTTGAGAGGCTATCGACAAGATAACCCTTCTGGTGACCATGAACTTTGTCAGGTGCTTGAAGGTTGGAACAGTGCTTCATGAGACTGTAGCTGCCGATTACAAAAGGTCTATTGTATCAAAACACTCAACCAGAGCACGGCTTCAAGACCTAAATCATAATGTGAGCATGGATTCCAGCTCCTACAATCAAATATTTTATTGAGAGGACAGTGAGAAGTTTAGACTCCCGGCCATCGTTCATTTTGTAAGATGCTCCGAGGTGTACGCAACACAATGACATCGACTAGTAATAGTATAGATGTCAATTGTAAAAGGTCGATCACAGCGATCCATTCAATATGTGGAGTATCTGTGACATCTGGATCATCCGGATTAGATCAAAACTGTCTTGATCTTACATCTCTGCGGGAAAGATGAAACAAATGAAAGAAAAGCTCTAAAGAGAGGTTGACAAATGGCTTGTGAAGTCTTCTTGAGAATATCAAAAATGGACACTCTTTGCTACGTTTGCTAGAGCTCTTATGAAACCTTCAGTCAAAGAATACATTGAGCAACGAAAAATTGCAGCTGAGAATTGTTGATATGAATTATAAGGCTCGCTTCCAAATAAAAATCGCAACCGAATCATGAAGTAAAGTGGTAAGAGCAGAGGTCGCGTACGTTCTTTTGATGATATGTTGTTAGTCGTGGAAGGCAGGAAAAATTGAAGGACTGACGGACCGGTTATGTTGTATCATTGTCAGTAGGAATTGATAAAACCAAATCTATTCACTCATATTATTGTGAATTTGGAAGTGATCAGCACCCAATACGTGGGCAAGCTAAGGAAAGCTGACCGTCACGCTCACCAAATGTGTATGAATCCATGTATGGAAACTCTGGGGCGGTGGACACACCTCAAGGTAGACATTTTCGGGGACATTGAGTGAAGTTGTAGGGTGATGGGCATGCATTTCCCTACAATAAAAGAATGTAATCGGCGATGCGGCGAGAATAATAAATTCCTTACAGCTTCTGATTTATTATTTCGAGTACAAAGGGTAAAATAATGTATTAGCATTATCGTAAATGTTCAGTCGACATTAAAAATGCGACCAAGGTGATGCTGATCCTAGTCATTATTTAGTCGTAGTCATTGTATTCTTTACTCAGAGATCTCTTCACAACACACCACACCAATTCCGAACTCCACCTTCAATTCCTTCCGCCTCACTTCAACTCTCATCCCTTCATCCTTCCTATAACCTTCTGCTTCACTCGAATCTCTCGTCTCTCTCACAATGCGTCCCCATTCCCTCGATCTCAAGAGTTGTAGAGTCAAGAAAGTGTTCACCAACAATGTAAACAATGACAATTCAGTGAGCACTGGTTTCTTTCGCTCCCTATTTGAACACCTCTAATCCTTTCATCGTTTCCATTTTCACTTGCTGACTCTTATTTTTTTTACCTTTCAAGGGCGCCGCTTCCGGTAGCAAGCAAAGCCCCTTGGAATTAGAATTTGGTGGTCTCTCCCCAGCTAGACTATCCATCTTTAACCTTGAGGAACCTTTCACATCCCCGACTCTCGAACGCCCCCTTCGTATCAGAAGAAGATCCACATCTTCAAGCGTTCTTTCCGGCGCATCTGGTGACAATCCTATGGTATGTACTGTTAACCCATTCACTTATCTGGATCAATCTTCTTTTCTCTTGTTGACATATCCTTTTCCAATCTTCTCTTTCTCTTCCTTTACATCTTCCCACTCTGAATTTTTCAAGACTTCCAACCCCTCTCACATTGCACCAAGACCTCGTTTCATCTACTCGGGCCCACCTTTGCTCATGAACCCCGATGGTAGTGTCAAATCCCCTCATCGAACACCAAACCTTATCATCAAGAGCACTATCAAGAAAGTTTGCCCCCGCAAAACTTTCTTGAAACCATTGGTATGTGTTCCCAAATTCCAATTATCAATCTTCTTTCATTCGATTATCAATCTTCTTGCGTTAGTTACTTATTTCTCTTGTACCACTTTTCCCTTTTGATTTATATCACAGAGCGAACTGTTATCTGCGCAGCGCTACAGAGTACTCTACACCATTGTTGAGGACCGAGAGGAAGAATGAAGGGACGAATCTAAAGGCAAGAGAAGGTTTGGGCGCAAGGTAAGATATTGGTATACTTTATTTTTTCTGAAATCGTTTCCAATCATTTTGAAAGGAAAGAGACTGACTATATCTTTTCTGAACTTCCTCTCGGCCTATCCATTCAACCCATAGTGCTCACTCTTCTGCGTATGCCGAATCTTTTGATTGATCCTTTATGTGACGGAATACTTGATGAACATGTTATGTATTGGTTGTTTCATATCTATTAAAATTAGGAGTTGGAATTGGAATTAGGATTGGGATTTATTAAGATCAGGAATTGGAATTGGAATTTATTTCACTGTCATTGTGTTGAGATTATTGCTCACATTCTGAGGATGGTCACAAAATTCCCTATCTCATCTTGCGGAACTTGTGCTATGATGTTGCTGTCCACTTACAGACCTAATCTTACAATTTCCTTTCTGAAATTGGAGATGTTTCTTGAGAATTTTGGCTTCCAAAGTTGACTTCAGGGAGGGTTTCAACCCATTTTGTTTCATCTTCCCATATCAAAAAGTTACATATGCTGCGGTGTCTTTATACATATCAATGTGGCTTCCAGTGTCACATCCAAGTATTGTGCCAACTTTGTGTTGTTCAGAGTACGTGGCTCTCTCCTTATATGGTGTCAATGTCATGGCCCTCGAAGTTTTTGCTTCAAAGACCTTTGTCACAGTGGGAGTGATTTTAAGTAACTCTACAAAGATCAAAAGTTTACCTCTAGCGTTTTTGGTGCTACACTCCTTGATAATCACAGAAAGAGACAATTCGGACCAAAGGCAAGCTATTCACTTTGCCCGTAGAGGCTATACCTCTTGGAGCCTCCAATGCCTGGGGCAGCCCAGGCAGGCACTGTGATTGGTCTACTTAAACACCGTGAAGTATTCACTCTTCTGAATATACGGAACCTCTTTTTGACCGGTTTGTGTGGCATTTTTTTTCCAATTAAATTTAGGAATTGGGATTTGTATATTTCTTAAATGTGTTGAGATTGTTACTCATCCAAGGAGTGTGATGATAACCTAACTTTTTTTGGAGCGTAGAATCCGTCTTGAGGAGGTATGAATTCTCCGTCATCATATCCTGGCTATCTCTCATCAACACTTGTCCCTGTGGGTAGCTAGACGATTCTACAAAGTGATACTGATTCTCTTCAAGATTGATTAAGATCTTTACTATTTGGTTCTAGGTAATCAGATTGTCTGTATGAGTTGATTATTATGTATGTACATATACTCTCGTTGAATCCTATCAAATCCTATCAAAATTTTTCTCTTGTTTTTGCACGGGTAGACATTTGCCGTGTCGTCAAATAAATATTCACTACATACCATGAAATAAACGATAATGACTTCAATGTTGACCCTTGTCTTCGAGTCTATGGGATCATGGATACTAACACCCTATGATTGTTTTCGAACTTAAGATGCCCATTGTACTGGAGATGACATGTGCCAACAGCAAGGTAGCAAGGTGGTATGGGATGGTACAGTGGTCTTTCTTCCACTTTTTGTACACCAAATCGCTTTTCTGGCAAGATCGAAAATTGTAAGGCTCAAATTTTCGGCAAGCTATCCCTGTCGCAAGTCTTTGTAAGTTCAAGCGATGTTTTGTGGAGATATTCATTCCAACAACATCGGGTTTCTTGAATTGCATCTGTACCTTGAAGAGCCTTGAAGTTGAACTTGTCGCCCGTCCTAATTTGTCACGGTTCCTTCAATTGAACTAAAATGTGTATTGTGTTGGATTCTGTTGTTGAAAAACTCCATACGCCATCAACGAAAATTTCTATGAAGGTCCGAGTGGGAGTCATGCAGGAAAGTGATGATACATGTTCATAAGCTTATGACACTCAGAGGTGGGTTGTGGGTTGAAAAAGTCGAAAACCCCCAAACCCTCAAATATTAGTCAGATCGCCTTGAAGTTTTGGGTCAATTTGAGGAATCGACTCAGTCAACTTGCCACTATCAATGAATCTCATCGACTACGATCTCATTCTTAATCTTATTGATGTGGTGCTCGTCTAATTCGGATAATCAAACGCCTGTAACTCGAGAATACTATGCAACACCGTCAACGATCGTGTAGCTTTCAAAAGCATTCGAAGCAGCCAAGAAGCCCTGGGTCCACGCATCAACTGCCTCAAGGGTAAACAAGTTGTTTGTGGAGGATCCTTGGCAGCCAATTATCAGACCAGGCGTTCCATACGTTCTCCTGCTGAGATCTATATTCGGCACTTTAGGTGCATATATCTTGGTGATGTTTAGTTGCACTGCCGAAGTGATGCTTGCGCCAGAGGTTGTGAGCACGCGCAGTATCCACGCACCCAAGCAAAGAGATGAAATGAAAAAATCGGCTCGATTGACTTGAAGCTCTAAATCACATCATGGCACTTTCAGTCAGTCAATGCGAGAATAATGTAGAGCAGACCCTAGAATGCATAGGTCTCAATATCTGCCGGGAAAGACAGGACACGGGACAAAGACTCTCGTTGATCTTCATGTTCATCTGTCTACGATCGAGATGACTTGTGGGATATCTTTGAAAATTTTCATCTGACCACTCTACATTTGCGAGAGCTTGCATACATCCTTTGGATATAGAGTCACTGGGGTCAGACCAGACCAAAAAATCGAACCTAGGAGGACTCGAGCAATGATTGATTGCTAAGCCATGTCAAAATCGTGGATTACAAACCCAGAATGATCAATGCATAAATGATGTGCATGTTTCTAGGATGAGTCAATAAGAATGTGTCTCAAAGGCCTATCGACTCTAGCGACTCGACATCAGAAGCTTTCACAGTGGCCAAAAAATATCTCTTCTGTGGGAAAAGTCAAGGCAGGCCACAGGTACTCTCTAGAGGATTCGAAATTTCATGTTCGTATGTTCCAGGATTGAATATAGACATATAAGGCGTCATCGATGTCATCAAATCAGATCGTTCTGGATTCAAGGAAGCTTTCATATAACCTTTGGTCGAAAAGCTCACTGACTTTATAGCAAGACCAGAATCAAAACTAGGTTCATACCATGGAAACTCCAGCGGGTCGCTGCCAACAGAAATCCATGGTCAATCAACACCAGCTGAGTGTTAGAAGGCGTGGACTGAGCATGAATCAACATGAACATCAATGTATAGATGATATGTGTTCCATTTTCAGGATCAACAACCACAAATGCGAGACTTGGGGCATATAGTTCCCTTGAACGAGATAATTCTGATAATGCGAGGTACCTAAATTCGCTGGACTGCGACCGTCTAACCAATTGAATCTTAACAAATCAATTTTTTATATTGTAGATTCCAGGATTGTCATCCATAATGCGAGAAAGCTGAGGCGAGCCGAATATCACGATTGATGCGATAGCCCAATATCAAATGAAAAGGGGATCGGAGGAAGATAAGTCTACGCGAACACAGGAAGTAGATGATCGTAGGGGGATGAGTCTACAATACTCACCAAGCAATTCTGGGCAGATTCTTCGGACTAAAAGCCTACAAGTATTCTGCTGATGCTCAGGGCCGTCCAAAAATCGGTGATGGGAGAGGTGATCCGGGGTTGAAAGGAAATAATTTAGCTGAAGAGAGGCCAACAAATTTTAGTTCCAACGAAAACTTCGCTATAGTATGTTCAATGCTGAATTGGTCAATATAGGGAAGCTGGGGTGAACTGAACGTCACAGTGGCCAAGTGCTTGTTAGCTATGTATTGAAAATCGACTCAAAATTCACGATAGTCAACACTCAGATGGACGAATACCGTGAGTGGACTTTTTGAGATCAATAAGTAAGAACGCGTGAAAGGGTGCGCGTGGATTAATGCTAGAAACTGGAGACGTAGGCACCATAACATTTTCCGTACAGCTTCTGCTTTATTATCTTGAGTACAAAGGGTAAAATAATGTACTAGCATTATTGTAAATGTTCAGTCAACATTAAAAATGCGACCAAGGTGATGCTGATCCCAGTCATTATTTAGCGCGTAGTGATTGTATTTTTTACTCAGAGATCTCTTCACAACATACCACAACAATACCAAACTCCACCTTTGATTCCTTCCGCCTCATTTCAAATCTCATCCCTCAATCCCTCTCACAACCTTTTTCTTCACTTAGAAAACTCGTCTTGATCACAATGCGTCCTCCTGCCCTCGATCTCAAGAATTGTAGAGTCAAGAAAGTGTTCACCAACAATGTCAACAATGTCAATTCAGTGAGCACTGGTTTCTTTCGCTCACTTTTTGACCCCCTCTAATCCTTTCATCCTTTCCATTTTCACTTCCTGACTCTTATTTTTTTTGCCTTTCAAGGGCGCCGCTTCCGGTAGCGAGCGAAGCCCCTTGGAAGTAGAACTTGGTGGTCTCTCCCCAGCTAGACTATCCATCTTTAACCTTGAGGAACCTTGCCCATCCCCAACTCTCGAACGCCCCCTTCGCATCAGAAGAAGATCCACATCTTCAAGCGTTCTTTCCAGCGCACCTGGTGACAATTCTATGGTATGTGCTGTTAACCCATTCACCTATCTGGATCAATCTTCTTTTCTCTTGTTGACTTATCCTTTTCCAAACTCCTCTTTCTCTTCCTTTACATCTTCCCACTCTGAATTTTTCAAGACTTCCAACCCCTCCCACATTGAACCAAGACCTCGTGTCATCTACTCCGGCCCACCTTTACTTATGAACCCCGACGGTAGTGTCAAATCACCTCATCGAACACCCAACCTTATCATCAAAAGTACTATCAAGAGAGTTTGCCCACGAAAAACTTCCAGGAAACCATTGGTATGTGTTCCCATATTCCAATTATCAACTGTCTTACATTCAATTATCAATCTTCTTGCATTCGTTACTCATTTCTCTTGTGCCACTTTTGCCTTTTGATTTATATCACAGAGCGAACTGTTATCTGCGCAGCGCTACAGAGTACTCTACACCATTGTTGAGGACCCAGAGGAAGAATGAAGGGATGAATCTAAAGGCAAGAGAAGGTTTGGGCGCAAGGTAAGATATCAGTATACTTTATTTTTTCTGAAATCGTTTCCAATCATTTTGAAAGGAAAGAGACTGACTATACCTTCTCTGAACTTCCTCTCGGCCTATCCATTCAACCCATAGTGCTCACTCTTCTGCATATGCCGAATCTTTTGATTGATCCTTTATGTGACGGAATACTTGATGAACATGTTATGTATTGGTTGTTTTATATCCATTAAAATTAGGAGTTGGAATTGGAATTAGGATTGGGATTCATTAAGATCAGGAATTGGAATTGGAATTTATTTCACTGTCATTGTGTTGAGATTATTTCTCATACTCTGAGACTGAGGATGTTGAGAACCTTGCTTTGTGAAAGCCTTCATCCGATCTTTTTGAGCCATTGATGTGTCAAAGTACCAGCCTTCTCCTACAATTACCTGGTTGAAGCAAGCTATTTTACTTGAGACATCTTGAGATCTTTTGCCAATTGAAAGAAGGAAGAACATTGTCTGTAGTACATATTTCAACAAAATTCTCATATTTTGTCTCTTCCAAAGACGTGGGTATGGAGACATCTTTCTGCACTCACGAGTGGCTTTCACTTTTAAGCGCTAAGAAGATGTTTCTCTTTCCTATAATGTGTTCCTCCTCTCATGACCCTATGACTCCTGAACTTGTCTTCTGAAACAATTATCTTCAAGTCATACATAGTGATTCTGGATAGGCCACCGAACATCAACGGAATTACCGGCCTCTGGCACCTCACTTTGGCTAACTGTGCTCTCTAGTCACCCTGATAACCACTGATGTGAGCCTGGCCATGCGCGAAGCGATTGGGCACTCAGACATCCCCGACCCTCGTGAGGCGAGAAGGTCCAATAAATCAGGTACGATGACCATTGACTTTGGTGATGACATACCCATCAATATATACATTATGTAGCAAGCCTAGACTTGTAGCTTGTTTTGGAAGGTTTGCCTCTATGCTTGGATCAAAACGAGTAGGGGCATAAGTTGGAGTACGTACATATGTCGTTTTGATTTACTTTGGTATAGAGTTACCCTCAAAAATCATTCAGCTTGTTCTGTCTTTTTTAACATAAATGGCCTTTCTCCTCAATCTAAGCGGATAAAACCTGAGGGTTTGTTTTCTAAACAAAGTCCTTCATTTTGCATGTTGTCCAGATAGCTCGGTCTAACAGCCACTAGTGTTTTTTTCCTTTCACTTCAACAAGATCGCAGTTGTTCAGCATAGGCACTCAAGAATGATCTCTTTGTTGACTGTGCCATTCTACCAGACAAATACTGAAAGGGTTTGAAAAGTCATTGATGTGTGGATGGGACGGAGTGAGCCTACAACAAATGCTGAACAAAAATGATTCGAAAATCAAGAAGTTTTCAAGCAAATCTCGATAGATCGGAACTGAGCAGAATTCTAACGGAGTGCAGCATACTAAGAAGTCTAACTTTCCCTTTGGCTTTCTAACGGCCAGATGTATCCATTTTTTGCGCTTTTGTTCATTTCTTCAATTCTCCAAGAATGGCGCTCTTGTACGATAGCTGATTGATGATCTTGCAAAAAACACAAGGCTTCGGGTATATAAACCGCGTAACAGACTCATCCATTCCCACCATTCCATCATAATTCCAAACAATCAATACAAGCCTCATTCAATTCTTCGTTCATAACATTCATAACTTTACACTCAAAATCATCATATAGCAATCTCAGTTCAACTTTAAAAAGAAATCATCTTTTTTCAATGGCATCAACACAAATCACCTCCCCCAGATCCGACAAAAATACTTTAAGCCAATCCCAAGAGATTCAAGCATGGGGAGAGCTTTATATATTTGATCTCCCGAAACCTCTACGCGGAGCTCTATTCGCGAATGACCTGATATTACCTTATTCCCTTGCTCCCCAAACTAGTGTAGAAACTTCAGAAGAAATATGGCCTGGTAACCTTGAGTGGATCAAAAGGATTAAATTGTATAGTAAAGCCTACAGATTCGAATTCTTTCGTTGTGTTCTACCTCAGTCTTTTGGTCGTGAGAGTGGTTTGATATTTGATAAACCTCTTTCCGAATTAAGAAGACTACAATATGATGATAAAATTTTAGGTCATAGACGTTGGACTTTGATAATCTTTGGAAAAGAAAAAATTGCTGCTATACATCTTCAAACTGATTTATTGAAACACGACGAAAATGAAACTATCAAAGACAGATTGGTCATCCTCAAAGATGAAGTGAAACGTTAGTTTTCAGTACTCTTATAGAACTCTTTTATCCTTTTGATTCAAACTGACTTTCATCTACCAATCATACTCTTCACATCACTATTGATCTAGCTGTCCTGGCGGTCGAAACGAAAAAAGTTCATTCAAAGACCAAAAAGGAAAGACTCGTCGAAAAATTGACTCCTAAGAGTTCAACAGGAGTTGATAGAGACCCCATGAATAAAGACCTCATGAAACAGGTACTTGCTTCAATTCTGGATTCTGACTCTTCCTTTCCTCTAATCCCACCTTCTCTGTTTGTCTCATAGGCTGGCTCCGAGCTCTTGGTGTCTTGGGAAACCGAATTAGAAAAATCAGAACTTATCTTTGCTGGTGCTACTAAGAAGGAAATCTCAACTTTCTTTCCAGAATCATCATCATTATATAACAAACTTCGATCTTTTCCTTTTGACTTTGGATCTCCGGTGAGTAATCTTCTTTAAAATTCAATTTAGTTGGATTTGCTATTCTGATGCAAGATATTTTTGTGTTTTCTATTTGACTTGACAGAACATTGAGGAGCTCAAGCGTTGCTACGTGAAGCTTACTACAGCTAAGCTTAACCTTGACTTATTAACACAGGAAAACTAGAGGATGTCAATACGCATTTCATTTTCATTGATTGTACATAGCCATTTTCTTCAAGCTTTTTTTGCTGAATATATCAGTCGTCCCTTTATTGAAATCAGAGAATTAGATTTTATTTAATGACATTTGCTTGAGAATAGTGATCACGTGGTTTTGTCAGAACTGGGTACAGTACCAGAAAGTGGATGGTAAGAAGTGTATTTAGTTTTTTCAATTGGCAATATTGGTCTCGTATTATTTTTCTCTCGCATCAACTCTATCATTTCCAGAAGCAGTTCTTGCGAGACACTTGCTTCTGAGGGGTCTTTCTGTTCCTTATGAGTACTTCAGGGGTGCTCTTCACGAAAAAACGACCAGCTTCTCTGCTCTCCCAACGTCTGAACCGATCCGCCCCAAAAAGCGGTAGCGGGGCGGGTCGCCCCGCCGCCGCTCTCGGTTCTTTTCTGTAGCGGATGCAAGCGTCCCGCCACCGCCCTAACCCCAAATCTGGGGTTGTAGCGGGAAGTCAAGGGGGCGGGGCGTTCCAGATTTGCGCCCCGCAGCCCCTTCTCAGAGCGGTATGTAGCGTTTTGGACAGCTGACGCAAGATACCGACAGCCATCCACTATCTGATCAACTTTTGGCACCTGCAGCTCTACTTGGCGACCTCAGACAAGCACGAGACCCCTTCCAAACCTTTCGATCTGCCATATCCTCTACTACCTGGACAGCCAAATCTTCGACAAACACGCCTTATCGATGTCTCAAGGCTTTTCGATAGCTCAAATCGTATCTGGTAAGTACTTCGTGCCCTTGATCTCTCTCTTGAAGACCAAACTAACTCAAACAACCCCAACCTTTTCATCCAACCCGTCCGGTCATCGGATGTTGCCTTTTGAAGTGATATCATAGGTCCAAACCCTGCTTTTCAAAGCTTTCGATTCGATCTGGTCTTCGAACATATAAGCTGAGCACTTCTCACTCAGATTCCCTTCCTTGCACGATCATTCCCCAATTAATCGTAATACCATCAGCAACAATCAGTTATCTTACTATTATCCCTGATACATTATCCTTGATTATACTTGATCTACCAGTTTTCAAAAAACTATTTAAAACTTACCTTCAAACTCTTTTCTTCCCTGTCTTACTCGTACTTCTGATAGATTTGATCGGTTCATGATATGGCTCCTTCTACTACATCATATCTCGCTCCTCCGATGAACACCGGTCCTACGCTTCGCCCACAAACCCCTCCCAGTCCTAAGGAAGGGTTTGTTGTCCAATCCCCTGACTCCAGAGTCTCTGTCCAGCGTCCGACTCCTTCCAGCGACAGCGAATTGCCTGGAGACATTGACTTCGATAGTCTTGGCTTCGATCCTGCCCAGATTGTCGACGACTCCGAATCTGAATCGTCTGTTGTCGAGATTGTCAAAGCCAAAGAGTCTGCACCAAAGATCACCAAGAAGAAGAAAAAGAAAACTCTAGGTGTCAAGACTCTTTCTAAGCGTCGTCCTCGGGGTTCTGGCTCGTCAGTTATTCTGATTCGAGGCCCTGGAAAGAAACCCAAAAAGGCCGTTCCACCAGTAGTAAGTCTAACTTTTGAAGACTCATCACTTTCATCTACTGATCAATTGTTTCTTTCTTTCGATCTTATCCCTTTCCAACTCTTACTTGTTCTCTTTATCTTTCTTGAATTAATACCATCAGGCTGGTATTCCAGATGGGATCGACATCAATCAAGACTCCGATATTGAAGTCGTCGAAACCAAAGGTGTTCGCCGTGCCCAACTGGGACGGGTCTCCAAACTGTTGGAGTACTTTGAACCACCAACTCACATCAAAGGCAAGGTAAGTTTTGTTGTTCATTCATTTATTTTGTCAATATAAAGCCATCTCGACTTCAAGGTCCCAATGCTAATGTTTCTTCTGTAGAGTGGTGATAATCCACGTTCTTACAGATGCCGATGGTGCAAAGGAAGATTTATCCGTGGTCTGCGAACTCACTACAACTTGTACGCCCACCGTGATGGGGCTAAGGGAAGGTCTGCCTGTCCACTACGATCTCGTGCCATTCAAGCTGGCTGTATCCTTCCGCCAACATGGGCTCAAGAGAATGCCGCTAACGATGTCGCTTCAGACAAAGCTAACGGGCAGCCCACCCTGGATTCATTCTTGTCGCGCACCACCTTTAATGTGGACTTGTGCAACACAGTCCTTGTGATGTGGATCCTTTTACACGCGCTTCCTTTCAATCGTTTCTATGACACCCCTCTTCGCGCGGCGTTTAAACTTGCCAATCGACGTGCTGATCTTAGGTCTGCAACTTGGGCTGCTGGTGTGGCTAAGGACTTGTATAGCAGCTTGAGCAAGTCAGCTATCTCCTTAGTAAAAGTAAGTTATGTTTCATATTCTTATTTCTCTTTTTCTCGAACTAATCATCAAAACACTTTGTAACAGAACAACTCGAGCAAATTCTCTCTCATCCATGATGTCTGGACAACAAAGGGGAATTGGTTCGCCTTCATCGGTGTATCAGCGAATTACATTGACGATAACTGGAATTTCCGCACAATCCACCTCACCTTGAAGTTGGTTGCATGGAACAAGTTTGGCTACCTCTTAGCCAAACCAGTTGGGCGTTTTTTAATGGCTCACGACTTGCACACCAAGATAAGTATTTCAACGTTTCAAATATCTTTCTGTCTATCAGTAGCTAATTGTTTCTTTGATTCTTTACATGCTAGGTCAAACGACTGATTCGGGTGCTTCTAACAACACAATGGCACGTGAAATGGAGATTATGTTCTCTGAAGGTGACAATTCTGTCGACTGGGATTCATCACAGTATCACGTTAGGTGTTATGCCCACAAGCTTGGACTAGTGGTCAAGAAAGGTCTTAAAGTTTTGGGATTGTCGTCACATCAAACCTACCACCCCGGCCAATATCTCAGTACCTGTCCCAGCCATTGTTCTGAATGACGATCCGACCGAAACTATCATCGATAACGATGAATCCGATGATGAAGACGATATCCTCAATGCCGAATTTCACACAAGACACGAGAAAACTGGTGATGATGAGAAGGAGGATGATCCTACCTACGACGATCTTCCCACCGATGGCTGCATTGTGGTCAAAGGAGCGTTAAAGGTATTACTATTTCTTTGTCTCATATACTTCCTTTTTACTTTCATTTACTGACATCGGTGGCACTTTAGTTGAAGGAATTCAACGCCCTTCTTACTCGCAGCAATGCCCGGCGAGGTGAGTTCCAAGCTCGAGCTGCCCAGATGGGCTACGAAGGACCAGGTCCAATTGCTGGTTGGGGGATTTGTTGGAACATCGATCTAGAGATGTATTCCCGCCTGGTAGCTGGACGAGACGTAAGTTATCTTTCTGATTGATACACTTACATCAGAGTTGCTGACGTTCATGAACTCTTTCAGGTTGTGGATTCAATTCTTATCACTGATAGGAAGACTAAATATTATCAAGGCATCATGATAACCATGGATGAATGGGACGCCGTTGATACACTATGCAAAATATTAGAAGAAAGTCTTTCTACTTCAACTTCGATTTATCTACAACCCAGTTTCTGAATCTTGATCGTCTGTCAGGTCTTTCGTCACTCGACCAAGCGTATGGAGGGCAATACCCCAACGGGTGCTATTGTCCTGGCTGAATATCTCAGAGTACATAACCTACTCTCTGATATCAGCAGCTCGACTGCTTTTCCAAGCCTTGGAAGGATGGTAGATACCATGATCCAACAGCTTGACAAATATCAAACAGAGGCTGTGACTGCCGAAATTATCATCCTGGTCACCATACTTAATCCTAGATACCGACTGAAGTTTTTTGATTTACATTATCCCGAAGAAGCATCACGAGCTAAAGAATGCATTGAGGCCTTGTTCAGCAAGACCTTGGATACTTGGCCTGCTACCCCACCCTCTACCCCTGATCCAACTCCTTCGCCTTTGGGTGGAGTGTATGACCAGTTCGATGTCTTCATTTCTTCTGCGACTTTCCAAACACCCGATTCAATTCGAGCAGCTGAGTTAGACTTGTACCTTCAAGGTAGTCATCCAATTCTCCCTGGCCAATCCGAGCTATCTTGGTGGATGGTGAGTTTTGTATCTTACTCATGACCAATTACGATGCTTGAAAACTGACCTGATATCCTCTGTAACAGGATAATGCTTGTCACTACCCGGTTCTTGCATCAATGGCACGAGACTATCTCAGTATTTCGGCTACGTCTTGCGCTGAAGAGCGTGTATTTTCATCTGCAGCCGATATTGCTGTTCCTGCCCGGGGGGCTTTGAAGCCCAAAACCATCACTCGCGCTGTTGGCTGTCGTGAATGGTTAAGATATGGTATCACCACAGAAGATACATTCTCAGAAGCCCTGGCTTATCTTTCTTCCTATAAAAACCATGGTCGTAAATGATCCTATGTTTTGTGTTTTACTCAATTTTTCTTTTCAAGTCACTCGTTGTTTGTTTCATTCAAGTACCATGTTTTGGTTTGATTTATCTTAGTTTCTTTCTTTTACTCTTTTAATACTTCAAGTCACTCCTTTACAATCATTATGCTATTTGTTTTGTTTTGTTTCCTTTGATCGTCTTATTTAAAATACTTCAAGTCATTCTTTGTTTGTCTCTTTTTCAAATATTTCAATCTATTCATGTAGATATTCAATTCTTTGTTAATATTAAAAAAAATTGTGAATAAACTATTCGCCGCGTTCCGCTCGTTTGCCTTCAAAAAAATGGAAGCGGGGCGAGAGCGGGTCCAACGAGCGCACCGCTTGGCCACTGATGTATCGGGTCTGAACTTAGAGCGGGGCGAGAGCGGGATATACATGTAGCGGGTAAGCTTCCCGCTGCAAAAAAAACGCTTAAAAGCGGGGCGCAGCGGGGCGCTTCAGACGTTGGCTCTCCTGCATCAACCAAGATGCCACACTGGCGATCATATGGCGATGTGAATTGGCAGTTCAGAGCATCACCATACTTGGGTGATCATCACAAGATCTATGTAGTCAGGTGTGAGTGAGTCTTGAACAGGAAACAAAGTTGTGTGCACAATGGTGTGACGGCATTTTCCACGTATAGAAGGTCTTCAGACTCCACCCAAGATCAAACCTGGGAGGTTACTGGCTAGACGATGTTCTTGATTTGGAATGTACATTGTTGATCAAATGGCCTGGTCTACCAGCCACAAGCGGTCGGTTCCTTTCAATCCACTAAGATACATCTGTCAACCATAAGCGCTCAAAAATATTTACTTCACTTCATGAGCTATTCCTCAAAACAATTACTCAAAGGGAAGTGAAAAGTCGCTCGCCTGAAGGCTGAGATCAAGTGAGCTTGAAGTTGAAACGAATGCTGAACGAACAAGATTCAATGCGCAAGAAGTTGTCAGCGACTTTTGACAGATTGGAACCGAGCCAAATTCTAACGGAGTCCATCATACCAAAAAGTCACCTGTGGCACCTGTAGGAAGTGACATACAAGTCTGTCAGAAACTGGCAATTACAAAGGGCATGTAAGCCGATTCTTGGCCCAGAGCAGTTTCAGCGCTCCTGGAGCAGTTTTTTCTTGCACTCAAACACAAGTTAAAACAAAATTCAGGGGGATAAAAACATTGTAGACCATTATTTACATGATAAACTGCCCTTATACAAATTTAAAGCACACTTGGACTTTGACTTTTTGCAAAGTCACTAGCCAGAGCGCTCTGGGCCTCGCCAGAGCGCTCTGGGCCTCGCCAGAGCGCTCTGGAGTCTTGTCGGAGCGCTCTGAGCTTGACTGACTGTACTTGTACATGACAAGTACAACTTCACCAACACACAAACTCACTTCACCTGATCATGCCTCACTTCGAGCCTCAACTCAAGGTGCAATTTGTATGCATCACAAACTGCAGAACACTACTACTACACCACAAAGACACTTATTTGCGTCAGGGCATTGGGCATGTCCCAAATTGGGGACACGACCCGACAGCCACTAACGGGGCGCTGGCTCGACGTCTGTATGCAAATATATCCGCGGTGCATCCTGAAGATGCTCTGGCGTCGTCCTTGCCAGGATGAGATTCGAGCACACTGTGCTTGGATCACCTACGGATGTCCAATCAATGGAACACCCTTACAGCAACCCTTAGACAACCGCTAGCAATCCAATATCTGTTGCCCTTGTGATGGAAGCAGGACAGCCACCAGCATTCTCAAGACTGGGTGCCCACTTGGCACCACAGCAAAGGACCTTGATGAGGAGGCCGGTTAAATTTTAAAACTGATTTGGTCAAATGACATCATCATCGCATGGTGACTTTGACACTTTGACCTGTACCAAAGCAATCTTCATCCTCCTTCATCTCTCACTTCCTTCTTGTTTCCGTCTTCCACTTTGATCTCGTTCGATCTACATCCCCTTCCGCCTTTCTTTTTCTTCAACTACATTCACACCTAATCCAATCTCCAAAGTCTTGATATGATTTTCAATCGCATCGGAACATCAACCTTTCCTTCACTCAATTCATTTTTCATAATAATTTCTGAATTCTGTTTAGTAAGTCTTTCAACTGATTGACGATCAACCAACTTTGAGGAAACTATTTTGAAACTTTTAATGTAGATGAATATGTTTCTTTCAAAGCTTCAATAGGCAAATGATAGACATGAATTCCAGAATGATCGATCGTAAGTCTTTTTCTATCTACAGCTGTTTCTTACTTCGGTATTGTTGTTAATGGAATTAGTTTGCTTTGAATTCCAAACAAGGTATGAAAGATCTTTATTCTTTCTTCTGGAGTTTTTGTACTTTGTTATTGATCAATTTACAGAACATGATGAATCCATCAAATTTTACGATTCAAGTCAATGATTGAGAAAAAGACAATTATTCTTATCAGCTTCAGTGATAGATATTATTGTTTTTATCATTTCATTGTTTTATCGTTTTTCTCATTTCATTGTTTTATGGTCTTTATCATTTCATTGTTTTATTTTTTTTATCACTTTATTGTTTTAACCTTTTATTGTTCGTATCATTTCATCAATGTTGGGTTTTTGAACACAAATCATTATTGTTATAACAGTGCTTTATATGAAATTTAATCGCGCCGTTATTAATTAAAACAAATCTGAAATAAGTGAACTCAAAACCAACCCGTAGACATTTTCAGGACAATCTAGGAGATATCTAAAGCTGATCCGAAGCTCTATCAGTCATTTGTGTATCGGTGCTGCGTGCACCCTCACAACAAACCTCGAGGGATGTCAGATGGTTGTCGATTCGCGCGCTCTGGGCAGCCCGATGGGCTCTGCTCAGGCGTCTGAACGTCGGAGTCCGACAGATGTTTCTCGGTGTGTTGTGGGGGGACGTCCGTCCCCCACCAAGAAAAATTGGACACCCGGTGGACATCCAAGTGTCCTTGTGGTGTAATTGGACCTTAGTGAGTCTTTTCGAACTTACAAATGTAATATGAAACAATTGCCATCAAATCCAAAACCAACGGTCATGATGTTTGTAAATTTTGTCAAGTCATGATCCAATTCCAAATTTGATCGCATTGCATTAAAAATTTGATATCTCCAATCATCCGATAGAAATCAAATATGTACATACGAGTTTTCGATCTATTCAAAATTCAAATTCATACCGGTATTCCAATCTGCTCTCACACAAATACATAAACCAAGGAATTCGTCCAAAACATAGTATAAATTCGATATTCTTTCTAAATTGATTGCAATTTGAATATTTAAATTCAAATGATTATAAAACAACCATTCAATTTAGGACCACAACATTAACAAAAAATTAGAAAAAAGCACAGAACACAAACTAAGAAACATCATCACGACTTGTGTTAGTGATTCTAAATGTGTCTTACTGAGATTGAACATGGGTACAGATAGTTGTATTTGTCATCTGATGAAACATAAAGAGAAGTAAAAAAATAAGAAAGAAGTAACAGAAAGTAAAAGATATAAAAAGTAAGAAAACGATTGTGACTTGTGCAAGCAATTCATGATGAGCTTTACTAAATTGAACATGAGGTTAGATATTACTCATTCTAACAACCAGATTCAGACTCTTCATCAGAGTTTTCATCGGACTCTTTATCAGACTCTTCATCAGAGTTTTCATCGGACTCTTTATCAGACTCTTCATCAGAGTCCTCATCAGAGTCTGACCTACTCGATTTATGACGTTTGTTAATTTTCTTCTGACGCCGAGATTCATATTGGGTTCGGTCTCCTCGCGCCAATTCCTCGAGTCGACGACGACTTTCACTAGGTCCAGCCTGCATTGCCTTGCTTCCAGTATCTTTCAAAGCCTCATGTTTTCGCTTCTTTCCGACTGTCGATCTACTTTCAGATTGATTTGGTGCATCTTCCAGTTGCTCATTGCCGGTCTTGACAATGGTGAAGTTTCCATTTTCAATGTCCTTCGACCACAACTTGACTACCGCATACGGAACTTTTCGGTGGCCAATATCCAGGTCGCATCTATTAAGCATCGATCCCGCTTTTTGAACGATTTTCACTGGCCACCCTTTGGCTTCGATAGCAGCGACAGGATTGGGCTTTTTCGGAAATACACCACCGCGCACATGTACACCTACAAAGTGTGAAATGCAAGATGATCTGGATTAGGATAGTTCATTCAAGCATCAACCAAACTCCAAGAAATTGGAACTTACCCAACATTTCGTTGAGCCGCTTTCCTAAAAGACTTCTCCCTTGGTCACTAGGTTGTCGAGTGGAACCTTCAATCTCTTTAGCAGTATCTTTGCCATGGATGTAAGTTGAAAATTTTTGAGGAACTTGGGCCGTGTCGACTGCCCATTTTGCAAACCACACATCGTTTGAATAGGTTTGTGACCATCCGTCAACCCCCCCACAACTAGCAGTAGTTAGATAGTAGGCTATCTGGTTCTGTTGACAAACAACAGCAAACTATGAAGAACGGGTAGCAAATTTGTAAATATATACATTAGCTGTGATGGAGTAGATGACCTTACTTACATCGTGATGTGCTTTCTTTACAGCAATAAGCGACTTTTTTTGAAGAGTAGCAATGGTTGGAAGTGGTTCGGGCTTGCCATGACAAAGATGAACCTTTTCGATGTTGACAAGTTCATCAAAAAGTGGCTGATACTTGTCCTTTTCTGCATCCGAAAGTTTATAAACCTGGGGCGCCGGTGTAACAGTATCAAAACTTTGTACATTGACTCCATTCTCTTCGTCTACGTCTGTATTTTCCTCTTCAGGATCGTGGCTGGCATAGTCTGGAAGGTCGGCTAATGCGAAGAAATATGGATCACGGAAAACATTCTTCTGGTCCTTGCTCAAAGTGTGCCACTTGTTTGACATGTCCTGATTATGATCCACCCAGGCGTCTTTGTCATCACGATCAGGAACTAGATTGCATAAGCCACGACTATGTTGAATAGATGAAGTCGAAGTCGTTGGATGGGATCAACGCCAATGATAGTTTAGAAGGAATCCATTAAATCAAGATGGATGTAAATGCGTGTGTGATTTTGTTTATGTAGAGTGATATTGGTGTAGTGTATTTGTTAGGGATTACATGTGGGTGTTGATGGCGTGGGATCGAATCCGTAAGTATAATAGGTTGATGTGAACAGTTGATAGAATTGAGATCAAACAGTTGAAAGATGAGATCGAGTGTAGATTGATGAGGTCGATTTTGAATGTGAGTCAACCAGGTAATATCAAATGAAAGAAATATGACATAAAGAACAAAGCTGATGATTAGAGACTTACGTGCTTTACCAAGGCACTTCACGCAAAACGAGAGAAAGCGAATCCAAGGGTTGGCCTTTGTCTTTTTAGACCCGAATCCTCTAAAGCATAAACCGACTGGCATTGGCAAAACTGAAAGTCAAGTAGTCAATTTAAAAGACACGTACACCAAGTTCCAAATGACCACTTCAGGAACTCCAGCCATCAGTGCGATCATGAGAATTCTTTTCTCAAACTCCATTCGCATAATCTTCACAAGGTCCTTGATGTCTTTATGAGCAGTGCTGCGTCGAGACTGTTGATGAAATATGGCTTCGCGGAGAGACACAAGAGTCCATTTTGGGAGTTCTTCCTCGAAGTTGTCCAATTCGAGTCCAGGAAAGCGTGACCTAAATGCTTTGCCGGCTTTTCGATGATTCTTTTTGGACAAGGGCTGCGAGGTTTCGGTTTGAGATTGGGTGTTGGTAGGTCCAGGTGAACCTTGGTTGTTTTCAGTGTTGTTGTCATCTACATTCTGTTGAGATTGACGAGTGTGACGGGTCTTCGAGTTGTTACCTGGATTTTGGGTTTGTTTGCTTGATGCTTTCTTCTTTGGAGCCATCTTGGATTTTTGTGATTTTTGTGAACGAGTAGCTGAAGGCATTGAAAGATTTGATTGGATAGTGAGTATTTCAAAATTTGGTGCTTGAAGGATTATACGGAGATGTGAAGCTGTAGTGAAGGCAGTACAAGGGATACGAATCTGTAGGTGTCACTGTCACTTACACGTGGAACATGACATGTTCCACGTGAGATTGTAAATAGAACTGTCACATATTATTCAACAGGCCTTGCCATAGCCATATCTTGCTGGTTTTGGAGCAAGTAGGTATTAAGTAGATGAATAAAAAGGACCTTTGTCTCAAAACACATAAATATAGTATGTTTCAAAGAACTTGAATATATCTGAAGTTGAATTGACATTTGGGGTCAATATCTCAATATTGAAGAAATCAGATAAGTGGGTACTCTAAATTGGTTTTTAGGGCCAGTTGGTGCTCCAGCTCAAACAAGTCAATCTTTGTTTTTGTTGAGAAAATTCATAAGTTAAACCTGAATATCATTTGCAAAATATTCATCTTCTAATAGATGTCTGTTGGGTAGTCACCCCTCCCACTTTCAGTTAACTGTGTGCATATTTCACATCATACCCCGTTTTTTTGCCAAAACACTGGGCAATCCATTACAATTTATAACATCTAGCTTTTTATTACAAAAGGGTCAAATCTTTCATTCCCTTGCCTAGCTTGTGCTTAGGTGAGGGAAAGTAGTGTAACGGGAGTTGAGTTCTGCTGTCAAGGACAGTTCTCTCTACTCTGGAACTCTTCTCTCTACCCCATAAGTGTGTTCCATGACCACATTTTAATATAGAAACACACTGGACAATCAAAACTTTTTTGTCTTTGGAGCAACATAAGAATTTGATGCTGTATCAGAGTCCATGAAGATTCTCCTATAAGATAGATCCATCTCACATCTTCCCACACCAATACAACATTACTTATGACCCAATAAGTGTGTTCCACACGTCATCTTGAATGACTTGCGTAAACACACTGGACAATCATAAAAAAATCTTGGGAGCAAACTGAAAAACCGATGAAACTGTATCATATCTCATGAAAGTTCTGCTATAAAATGGATCATTGCACTATCCACAACCCCAATCTAACACCTAATTATGAACCCATAAGTGTGTTCTGTAACCTCATTTTAATATTGTTACGGGAACTCACTGGACAATCAAAACTTTTTCCTCTTTGGAGCAATCTGAAAATTTGTAGCAGTTGAGAATTAATGCGAATCATTTCGCAAAATGAAGTTATCATAGCTTCACCAACACCAATATAACCCCTATGTATGCCCTTTTTTGATATTTGAGCCTGATTTGTTGGAGATGCTCTACAAGGTAAACTTCCTTATTTTTGTCCAACATCAAAAACTGAACTAGCCTCATAATATTATATCAGGACTCTATTGATATGACCATTAAAAAGTTTTCTAAATTTTTTGGTCACATCACCACTGTTGATCAGTACTATATCTTGTATAATACTTGGAACATGTTTCCCCATTGTCCATGTTGAGCTCATCTTAACCCACTACCATCAACTCAGTGCAAGTACTTATCCAGTCATGATATCTATTTGACCTGACTTATCACTGTGGCACCTGCAGAATGAATAGTGAGATGATATGACAGAACTCACGATAATAGCTCACCAACATGAGGAAAGCATGACATCAAGATATCATCACATCCAATATATCAAATACTTTGAATTTATATCAAGTGCAGTGCAACTGAAACTTATATGAATCAAGTTACATGAACAATTCAAAGACAATTCATCCAGCCAAACTGGAAACCAAGTGTTGCTAGCACCCGATCTTCCAACAAGATCAAGGGGTATTTCTAAAGTCCTTGGTTGAAAGCATTCATCAATCATTGGTTCCAACAAATTCAAGGGTCCTGCTGTTCATATATTGGATCGACTTGAAATCCGTGATCATACGGATATGTTAGGGCAATATATTTTTAATTGCACTTAGGCTTCAGGCCAGACAAACATCTGTTGAAAAAGGGACAAGCCAAGCCAAAAGCCCACAAGCTTCAACCACCAAGTTCTGACAGATTTGAGAGATCTTTACAAACGATAAGGATACTCTCGCTGATGTGATCTACTACACAATTCAAAAGCTTTAAAGTAGCCTAATTTCGTACATACATAATCGATTGAGATAGATACTTTTCTGACTTTTGAGCTCAAATCAACACTTGAAATCCATCCCTTGATCGAGATATTCTACGGTTACTTTTGAAACAACAAGACTCGAATCCACGCTTGATTTCCAATGGTATTACCAGGAGAGGAGTTCCCCCCCGAACCAAAGCGGGCAAGAAGCGCAGCGATTCCGATGTCAGCAATTGGTCGGAGACTTGCTGAACTAGAGGGTCGTGAGCAAGAAGCAGGTAATCGAGTGGATGCTCAGAGGAATCAGCCACAAGCCCCCGACATTCAACCTATCAACCCAGCAGACCACCTTGATCAGGAGGAGGATCAACTTTACCGCGCTTTTATTCCAGCTGGTGGCCTGGATGATCCTCCCAGAAACGAAGTCCAACTTTCACCCGTTATCAATCGAGCCGACTATTATCGTGATGTAACTTACCAAGAGAGAATTCTTCAGGAAGAAGCCAACTGGAGAAAGATCATACCAGCAATGTTTATCGCCTTCATGCCGTGTAGCCGAGCAACTTTTCAGTGGGTAGACCCAAATAAATGGGATCATGACATGAATGAACCATGTAATTGTGCACTTTGGAAGCGGTCAACAGTCACCATTGATACAATTGACTGGTGTGGTGAGTCGGATTTTGTCATTTTATTGCTATAAAATGTCTACTTCCAAGATAAAATAGTCTGTCATACAATTAATTGTATGTATTCAACCATTAAAACAGGTCGTACCAAAATGCCACTTCAGATTTGCCAGTGCACACCGGATGCAGTTCGGTTGCTACGTAAAGGTTACATAGGCAGTCATCCTGTGAAGCCAAGAACGGCATTTTCAATTTGATTGTTGCGATATCATCATATTTTGTGGAAATTCTGTAGTGTACAAATCACACCTTGTGTGGAGGTAATAGACGAATATCTGGATCCTTGACATCCTCTCTTAGTGGTTGCAGGGAGTGATCAGGTACGTGGTTGCTCAAAGAAGTATTTTCAATGATGAATTCTAATTAAGTCTTATTACAGACTCGTGATTGGCGCAAAGGGTATTCCGCTGCTGTTGATGTTTATCGGGAAATGCTTCAACTAGAAGAAGAATTGAAAAATAAAGTGTTGAAATGCTTCCCTGAGGATATACTGGCTTCCACTTGTCCAGCCTGCTTTGGACCAGAAGTAGCAGGGAGGCGAGTGGCTGAGCCGAATGTGGTTGTCTGTCTTGATGGTAATTTCCAGCAGAGGCGCCACTACTCAGCTAGTGCCGCTTGGAGGGGTAATACTGGAGTTATGCCGGCTTTGTTTCTATCCCCGGCCGACGTCAGGAGCTGGGAGAACAAGATGATGGTTAACCCACGTGACAAGGCCTCTGACTTGATTGTGAGCTGGTTGAGGTTCATATTTATATTTATTGTGAATTATTATGTTGTGCTCATATGTACTGACTTCAGCAAATCTTATATTTATATTTAGCATCCATGTAGCGCACAGCATACAGCTGCTGATGATGTTCGAGGTAGATCTACTTGGAAAAGCTACTACGAAACCGGTTTGATGGGCATGGGGTGTCGACACGACAATGTTTTGAAATTCATCAATATTATCCAGAGTGGCGAGCGGTTAGTAAACCATTAAATCCTTCTTAGTTCAAATGGAAAGGCCAAAAGCCATGATTTGATATGGATTCATGTATCATTTCATCAAAGTGGTCATTTTCCTGTAGCTATGCTTGACTGGCTCATGAAGCAAAGTCAGCGAGATATGAAGTATGGTGTGCTTTATGACATTGGATGTAATTTGGAGAAGGGAATTCTCAAAGTATGTCAATCAAGACTCCTTCTGGTTTATCTGCTTGAATCAATGAGTAAATATGATGATTGTCTGATATCAATCAATGACTGGAATATTATCCAGCGTAATTTATTCCCAGATAAGCGTGATGCTGGCCTGCTTATGTTTGGTACCAGTGTTTTCCATTCATTTGTTCACCAATGGACGTGCCAATTACAGTACAATCCAAGGCTGAATATGGATTGGGGTCTATCAGATGGGGAGGGAATGGAGCGGATTTGGTCCAGGCTCTCATCACTGATTAGTGGTCTCAGGTATTCTACATCGTTTCATTGACTCAGCGCATTGAATCTACAAGCGCAGCATCACAATGAGGCTGGTCGAACCAAATTGGGTAAGCTTGTTTTATAATACATCCTTTCGGAATAGTCTCACACCGACGATCCCTTTGTTTCAAAGTTAAATCGCTGCTAACGCGCGAGCGTGCAGCCCACAAGCAGTATTTGGATAGCAGGTTGAAGTTGGATATTCTCAAACGTGAACCTACTTACAACGAAGATTATTTCATCCAACAATGGTCTCGGCAGCGGGAATGTCAACTGAACGCATTGGTGCATGAAAACACTGAGACTCTGAGCAAGAAACTAGCAAAGCTTGTGGGTTTGGAACAAAGCCTGCAGACCTCAGAGTTGAGTAACTTATCTTTGCTTGACTGTAAGTCAGTTTCAATTGAACTTATGTATATGATATAGAGACGAATTTGAGTTGCTACGAGCAAAGCGTCGACGGGATCGAACCCGTGCAGAGCAGCTCGAATTTGCTGCCCTACCTGAGTCTATTGCTGTGCTGAAAGCCAAGATTGAGGAGGTGGTGGACCAACTCGGAGGTGACAAATATAGAGATACTCCGGGGGCTTCGAGTGAGTTTGAATCCCATTGATGGTAGCACCGGAGACTGGAGCAATTAAGAAATGCAAATTCTAACTGTAGCACCCAAGGGAAGAGGGCTGATCCGAATTCGGGTGGCCAAAAACAAACTCCATGTGGCGAAAATTGATGTCTTCACCATGCAAAATCATAGTGATGAGCGGGCAGGTATGTAATGTTTGTTTATAATGACAAGTATGCATTACACTGAATTTGAGATATTACAAAAATTAAGGCACTCGAGTTCAACAAAGGATGAAAAAGTCATTGAGGGAAAAGCAGACCGCATTCAAATCAAAATACAACACTTTCAAACGCATAGTCGAGGGTTTCAATCGCGATTTCCCAGATGGTCCAGTTATGGATTGTCCCTCGTTTGAAGATTGCCGAGCCCTGTCAGTGTATGATGCGTTCTGGGATGTGGGTCAACTGACGCATCCTGGAGAGGCGTGGGCGGTAGATCCAAAGACACAAGAGGGAATTCAGGCGTACCTTGCAATGACACACGCTCACGATGAGCTTCGTCGAGTCGGCCGAGAGTGTCGTCAAATGATTAAGTGGGCGGTGGATGTTGAAAGGAAGATGTCAGTATTGCAAACTTCACTTCTCTGGAAGGTGAGCAGTTTTGTACTCTTACCTGGTCTGATTGATTTATTGAAGATTGTATGTATAAAAATGTTGGCAACGCAGATGACAACGTTGAGAACATTACAAACGCCTGGATGATGCAGATCGTAGGTTCAGTAAAGCCGAGGATGTCAGATCGCTTGGTTGAGAGCAAGGAAGTTTTGAACTCACTTCTTAGTCGCTTTACACACAGTCATAGCCGATTATGTATCACATGGAATATTGATATGTTGAAGATCTTGAACAAGACAGTTGAGGATAGTGATTTAAGCCAAGACAGCGAAGTCAGTCTTGAACTTGAGTGGAGGAATTTGGCGGTAAGATCAAGACTGGCCTTTCAAAGGGTGGTGGAAGCTCCAATTGTCAAGGCAGAGCCGCTTGATCAGGATGAAGCTGCCGAGTTTGAGATGGAGGACAATGAGGACGAGTTGTTGTTGTTGAATGATGAGGGCAATGGGGATGAGGTAGACGAGGAGGAAGTCGATTGATTAGCAAAGTTGTCAGAGTCATATAACATCAGAGACTGGAAAGGCGTACATTTGCTTCCTTTGACTTGTAAAAAGACTGGATTGTGCTGATTTGAATTGAGTTGAGATGGAAGGTCTCTGGAGATAATTCCGGTTTTGATGGAGTTGCTGTTAGACGGAGTTTGTTTGGGGTCATAGCTGATTGTAGACTACTGGTTAGGAAGAGGTCTCGTATTAGTTCAACTTGAGCCTATTTGCATTTTGTTTCAATCACTATGCCAGGGAAGTGGTGTAAGTACATACTTAGGGCAGATTCACAGGAGGTCAGAGCGCTCTGACAAGACTCCAGAGCGCTCTGACAAGGCCCAGAGCACTCTGGCTAGTGACTTTGCAAAAAGTCAAAGTCCAAGTGTGCTTTAAATTTGTATAAGGGCAGTTTATCATGTAAATAATGGTCTACAATGTTTTTATCCCCCTGAATTTTGTTTTAACTTGTGTTTGAGTGCAAGAAAAAACTGCTCCAGGAGCGCTGAAACTGCTCTGGGCCAAGAATCGGCTTACATGCCCTTCGTAATTGCCAGTTTCTGACAGACTTGTATGTCACTTCCTACAGGTGCCACAGGTGCAAAAAGTCTAACTTTCCCGTTGACTTGCTAACGGGTATGCAGTTTTTGCGTTTTTGTTCATGTCCTCGAGTCTCCAAGAATGGCGCTCCTCTACAATAGCTGTTTGACGATTTTGCAGAAAAACGGACAAGGCTTGGGGTATTGTAATCCATTTCCACCATCCCATTATCCAATTTCAAACAGTCAATATATAAAGCATTTTAATATCTCTTCTACAGCAATCATAATATTTCATTTATAGCCATCATAAGCACTGTCATTGTTTTTCAGCAATCTTAATCTTACACTTGAGAATTTATCAACTTTTTTCAATGGCATCAACACAAATCATTCCTCCCAAATCCGACGAACATAGTTCAAACACTACAAGCCACTTGCAAGAAATTCAAGCATGGGGAGAGCTTTATATCCATTCTCACAGTTCCTTACATTACGGGTAAGGTTTTGTAAGAAAGGTTAATCAGTTTGTATTGTGCCAAATTTTAATTATTTAATGGTCTTTAACCTTCCTTAATTAAATGTAGAGAGTTGCTCAGCAAGTTTCTACATTTCTCCTCAACCTTGACCGCTAAATGCGGCTGAGGTTGAGGTCCTTTCGGGGGAGCCTGGGCGCGGGATTGGCATGGCTTTGTGTCACGGTCCACTACTACTTGGTATAGGTCACTGTTACTCTCTGTTTTCAAAAAAAAAGAGGAAGATAACTTTGCAATTCCGTAACGAGATACAGACAACTCTAATTCTTGAACCGACTAGATGATTGTAATTTCTGGTGTACTAGTCCCCTACTATGTAATTGTTTAGTTAGTGTAATATGCAATCAAGCAAAATCGCACTTAAAAAATAAAAAAAATAAAAAAAGAGCAGAATTCATGTTGTGGGTGCGTCCTTCTTCCGACAGGCGCGCCCAGGCGCGAAAAATCTTGATCGGACTGGCACAGGCGCCACTGGGGCGCGTTAGGTGCGCCCTTCGCCCCCAAAAAGTAGGAAAAAAAGGAAAAAATCTGCTACACCAGCGTACAGTGCCAGAAGATAACACCACAGGAATTATTAAGTTCAAACCCCGGTTGAGCAGAATTGTGGTATCCGAGTCCGCAACTTGTCTCAATTGCGAATCTAGTTCACATTATGTTCACAATACGTTCACAAGTTTCCCTCAGGTTTTTCTGATAACCCTTTGTCATGAGACATACAAATGCCCCTTTCTGACCGACAAGTGTCTTTTATAGTACATTCCCTGTCCTCGCTATTTACGCTTGCCATAGACATGCCTTCAAGAATGTTTGGCAAATCCAGATTTGATGACTGTGGCATCCTTAAATCCAATGGAGTCAGGATGGCAAAGGAGCCTGACCCGTCCTTGGCCCGTCAGCCCACGTGATTACAGCTTGAGGGCAACTTGTGAATGAATTGTGAATGTAATGTGAACTAGATCCGTGATTGAGACAAGTTGCGGACTTGGACACCACAATTCTGCTCAATAGGGTTTTGAACTCAATATTTCCCATGGTGTAAATAGTTGCCAATAAGAGAATTCTAGTCATTGACTGTAAGGTAGATTGCAAGAGATATCACAATCAAAGGAAGTTGACTGCAATTTTATACACATGAAACTCTATACGTCTTTTGGGCAAGACTTGGTCTGTAAAGTGACAACAGATCAGAGTGAGGTATGTAGACTGTTGGCCCAATATCTTAATACCATGATCAAGCAACACTCCTCAAAGTCCTCTCCAGGTATTTCTGATGGAGATGTGTTGCAAAACTGACAAAAACCCGCGGGTTAACTATGGGGCGCGCCCCTACATATTTTGAAGCTTTGGGGCGCTACCAGGCACGCCCGCGCCGGGGCGCGACTTTTTTGCGCTTTTTGCGCCGCGCCCACAACATGAAGCAGAATATTAACGGTACTCAAAGTAAAAAGGTGGTTTCTGCCTACTTCAAGACCTGGAACCTACTTTGTTTTTTTGGCGGGGACTTTTTTTCCAAGTATGTTTTCCTCAACCGGGTGGCTTTGAGGACCCTTTCTCTACTTTAAACATATGTACCTTCGGCTTTTGGCAAGAACTGTCTGGATCTGGTTCATGCATCCGGAAAGTTCCTATTGGGCGTTTATTCCACCTTGCAACCTTCATCCTCCTCTATCCTTCTTCATCTTACATTGGCTCACCACTTTCACCTCCAGATCATGACAATTTTTGATTTGAAATCAGTCAATTGGTTTTTGAAACAATCAATTGTTTCAACTCTCACTTTCTAAAAGACAGAATTGTGCTGAGCAGTCTCAACTCAGGCTTTTGTTTGATTGTACTTCAAACATTTCATTTCAGAGATGCCCAAAACAGAAGAAAGAAACACACAAAAACTTTGACCAATCAATCGTTTTCAAAAACAATCAATCGTCACAACTTGCATGGGGTCACAGAGTAATCATACCGATCAGCTTTTGAACCATCTATTGTTTCCAAAATCTATTGTTAGTCACAACTCTCAAGACTTTAGAATTAAGATTGTATCAGTCATGAATTCAGGGTGTGAAGGATTTTATTGAGATTGACTAATCTGATGATACTTTTCATTAAAAGAATCAGAAATCAATTCCAATTGATCCAAATCAAATCCATCGTCAACTTGATGATCATTTGGTATATCAAATGAAAAGAATGTAATCAGACAAGATACACTACTAGAATGAGGTAGTAAGTCTAGAATTTGTTGATTTGAATGCTTGGAATGAGTAGGTGAATTGATTGAAGTAGTTGAACAGGCAGATGATTTTGTCAATGATAAAGGGTTTGCTCTGAAATTGAGTTGTGGGTGAATTTGGAGAGGGAGAACAAGGGGTTGAACCTTGCAGGATAGGATGGTGGTGATGAGCGGAAATTGAGGCCACCGGCACGGCGCTCTAAAGAGTGCTCACCTACTTTTTCCGGGTGGTGCCTAGTTTTTACAAGTAGGTTTCCCAAGGTTTCCCAACTAGGCAGAAACCACCTTTTTACTTTGAGTACCGTTATTATGATAAGTCTCAGAGTTCAACCCTAAGAACTTATACTTAATATCAATACTTTCCAAAGAAGCATTACCCTTTTAGGGTATTCTTTGCAACCTCTATAACAACGGTTTATTTTACTATAGGTGGTTTGGGGGTATGCCCTGGCAAGGTCGGTATGCTATTTGTGATGGACGTCCACCACTATAGCGGTACCTACCTGCCAGGGTGAGAGCAAAGAACCCCTGGAGGGCTTCTCTTCCCCACAACTCGCGGGGATTTGAGCCGTGAGCCTGAGAAGCTCCATCCCTCAACTCACCGCAGAGTTTTCTGACACATAAACCAAAGCTTACAGAACATAAGTTGGTTATAACGTTTAGAATTTGACCAAAGAAGATCCACCCCAATTCAATCTATACGCCTCCTCAGCGATCACAAACTTAAACCAAGACACAATAGGTCCATGTGACCCTGTTAAACAGTGTGGTATGAACAATCACTCAATTCCCACTCTCTTCATCCCAGAAGAGGTCTTCTAACAGTTTCTTTGTCTTCTTCAAATCTTTGTTTGGATAATTCCTCAGGTACACTTTATATGCATCCGAAGCCCAGCATCTGCTTCTTTTCACTTCTTCTCTACTTGCTCTCAAGTTCCACCAAAGCAAGGCGCCGCCTATTCAAAAGGAATGGCCATGGAGTAGCTTCTCCTTGGACAAACAATGTGAGTTCCATATTGATCTAAACCTCTCTATGGTTTCCACTTTCCCATCTTCTTATCTACCTCCACTACGGAGATTTCATTGCTCAGTTTCCTATTCTTGTAGCAAAACCATTCTTGTAACATCAAAACTGGATCTAACAAGGACTTTTGTCAACGTAGTACAATAAACTGTACTTCGCCTGGAGTCGCCGTTTTTGCGTTATGAACTGCTAATTTCACATACAACCTGTCATTTGACCACATCAGATCATCCCAACGCGGCATCCTCTTTGTAGCATCATCTGTGATTAATTCTCCTAGCCTAGTGGTTCCCCAAAAAGCAACTAAGGCCGCCGTCAACATCACCAGTCCCTTCTTGCCTTGATCCGGAAGGACTTCTAAAAGGATCACTAAATCTCATACTAGTACTGCTTGACATTTGAATTTGACCTCAGCTAATTCAGCTTCCAACAACCTTGAGGCTTTGAGAAGAGCTTTCACTGCATCGTCTACTGCTGACGGATATTCTTCATGGTGAAAAAGGTGCCATGCTTTAATACCCGCCACATATGCTTTGCGTGTTGAATACTTCACTGACTCATCATCTTTTGCCCTCTCTACATCTTTCTTTGAAGCCCAGACGACAAATTGTTTCATTAAAAGAGGTGAACTTGGTAATTACCTGACTCTATCTATTCCTTTCACTGTT